CCAGTAGAACTTCAGGATATTCTTGACCTACAAGTAGGGAGGATGGCCTCGAGGGCGAAGAGTAATTACTTTGAGCTTCAGATTCAGGATTTCGGAACGATGCGACATTTACGGCATTAGGAGATTGGCGAGACTGTGCTCGCCAATTCTGATTATGACTGGAATTTTGAACATTCCTAGGAATGTCCACGGTATTATATTGTGGCCTGGGAACGTCTCTAGGACCATAATTGGAATTTTGGAAATTTTGTGAACAATCATTTTGCACAGAAGTTCTATGAAGGAGTGTGTGGTGTTTTTTACCACATAAGGAACAACTCCTAGACTTACACTCTGTTAGTGAATGTTTTGCCCCCAAACAATTGGAACATAAGGATTGGGACTTCAGAAACTGATATTTTTCATCAGTGCTAAGTTTGTAAAAATTGGAACATTTGTAGATATCGTGATCAATTACTTTACAAAACCAACAAGTTCGTTGTTTACTTGTAGATGAGCTAGGAGACACGTTTTTTACATGTAACGCCGTTTTGGAACTTGCCTTTGAGGCACCCTTTTCAGATTTTACTTCATTTGAAGAGGAGTGTGAAGGAGTACTTAAAGATTCTAGGGCATTGCACCTAGCTTCGATAATTTCGCAAAATTCTTTCATAGGATCTGATTTTAAATCTCGATTGGATTGATACTCCTTTTTAGTACCGTAATCTAACTTTCTCATAACAATGTTAAGGATGATTAAATCCCAATGCTGAGTTGGGCATTTTAAATTTTTTAAGGACTCTAAATTCTTTCGAATATTTACTAAGAATTCTCTTAAGGAGGACGGTGTACATTTTGTTATGTTTGGACTATCGATTATTGAATTTAAATGTGAATTTATAATAGCTAAATTATTTTCGTACCTAGTTTCTAAAATATTAACTGCGATTTCAAAATTGTCGTTAGTTATTTCTAAGGATTCAATAAGAGATAACGGTTCTCCTTTTAAATAGGACTTAAGGTAAATTAACTTTTGAACATTTGTTAACTGAACATTATTTTTTATCAAAGCTATAAACATTTGATAAAACGGAGCCCACTTTGTGTAATCGCCAGCAAAGTAGGGGATGGAAATTTGGGGAAGTTTTACCCCTAAATTTGGATCAGGAACGGATTGGTTACGACTAGAACTCGTAGGAGCAGAAGGTACAGTTAAATCGTTAATTTTTTGTTTGAGACAAGCAATTGATTTATCGAATTCGTCTTGAAAAGAACCTCTATTTTCCGTATCCTTATTCTTAACGTCTAAATCCTCTATTTCATTTTGAGCATCGTTATATTTAACTATCTCGGACTCCAATTTATCTAATTTAGTTTTTAAAAGGAATACATCTGTTTCAGAATCTATATTCGCGATTACCCAATTTTGGGTTCGTGTAATTGCAGATTTAGCATTCTTTCTAGCTTTTTGGAAGGCTTGCATTGTGTATTTTGAAGTGAAACTCAAGATATTAAAACTAGAATGTATACAACTATTCTAAGAATGAAAGAACCACGCAGGGTCCTGTGGAAAATGTACTTTCGTTAGCCTTTCACTACGCGAAATCACAATTTGTTTTTATATAGCACACGCGACACTAATATGGAATCGATTTTATGCAACGTGCTGCAAAACGCAAAACTTTTCCTAAAGAAATCGTCAATAAAAGTACGTAGGCGATATTATTTAAAACAAATAAATTACTATTGAATGGAAAAAAGGGCTACAAATTCTTTAGTACATCCCTGGAAATTTTTACAAGAACTATTTCACTAATTAATTTATTAATTAAATGAAAGAAATTAAAATTTTAACTTATGGAAGTTGGGCTCGAACTTTTCAAAATGCGGCCCTGGATTTTTTTTTAAAAAAGAAAACAATTTTTAATAACTAATTTACTAACTGGATGAAAAATTAAATTTTTATTTAACTTATGGAAGTTGGGCTCGAATTTTTCTAAGTACGACCCTGGATACTTTAAAATTAATTTTTTAATTAACCTTAAAATGTGGAAATAATTATTACTAATAACCGATGAGCTGTCTACCTTTGAATACAAAATATACCTGTAAGAAACTTAATCTAATTATAAAAAATATGGAAAATAAATGTGTAAATTAAATAATAAAACACAAGTGCAAAGTTTATTTTGATTTAAAAACATAACCAGAACGCAGTATTCTCCAAATCGTCCAATGGAGACAGGAATCAACAGGAACAAACAGGAACGAAATATTTTCACTCAGAAAATATTTGTAGTCGTTACTTGGAAGATCGTTGTATTTTTTAATACGACGCAGGAACAGACAGGAACTGTTTTTGTCCAAAAATACCGTAAATGTAGATCAAATTAATGATCAATGAAGAACTAATTAATTGTTTTTGTCAGAAAATACTTAAAAGATCGACTGTATCCGGCTCGCAAGGATCAAATGTTGAAACCGGGTTTTTATTCCACAATTTCAACACGTAGGTATTTGCATTTTTACACTTTTCTTCGATATGTCTAGTGGATTTGTTTCTCTCCAATACTGGTAATTATAAACAAGCTATTTTCTGATACGAATATTAGTCCTTTATTATATTATACAACACTATACAGTTTTAACCTAATAACTAAACGATCGGTAGACCAGCTCACTTTCTTGGATCTGATACGAATTGTTAAATGTAAGTACTTACAAAAATGTTTCGACTTCAAATGACACAACACAACACTTTTATTTTATTAAGTAACTTGAATCACTGAGATTCGTGGATGTGAAAAGAAATAGTTAGGAGTTAACGTTGGCCGTCCTTCAGGCTTAAAAGATGGAAATCGAATGAGCATCACCCGCTTACGCTAGAGAGGGTAGATAGAGTGATAGAGACAAAAACTGGTTTGGCGCGTGGTTAGCGAACGTTAGATATTTTATTATTTTAAAAACTCAAGAAGTCAATTTGCCGGCGCACAGGTCCGGCCTACCGATAATTATAAAAATAAATGGTTTGGACGTGTTCTGAACAACTATTTTGAGCAATGGTTTGAGGAGTCGCTGATTCCTAACTTACCCAAAAATGGACGAAAGAATGTTGTTATGATTAACTCTTCATATCATTTCCGTAAATTTAGTTTTTCAGCTAAATCATGGAACAAACCCGAAATAAAATACAGAGTAACTGTTTTGAGCTTACCACCGAATGATTCCGAGCTTCCGATCTAGACGGTATGGAATCAGGTAAAGCGCCATGTTGCTTTACGAACAACTTTGATTTCAATACACAGAATGTTAGTTTATTCATAAATGAAGACTTTAAAGATGTCACTGAACAAAATTGGCGTAATTGCGTTGCACATCCCATACAGCACATATTATTTCAGAAGTGTTTCAAAAATATTTCAATTTGTTCTAACATATAACATTTCAAGCACAAATTTCTAAAATATTTCACTGAAAATGTTTCTGAAACATATGATATACATGTTACACAAAAGGTTACTAAAAGGGTTATGTTGTAAAAGGCCTACAATTAATGAAGAATTTCTGATTTGTAAGAAGATGGGATATGTAGTTATTTTATTTCATCCTATGTCCAGCCAGAAACAACCCCTTTATTTAGAAATAATTATAGATTTGAGTTACTGGTTTTTGTTATTTATTCGTTGTGCTGTTATTATATGGGAAGCAACGTGTCTTTAGAAATTGAGGTAAAGTAAGTACTACAGAAATAATGCTTGTTTAGGCGGAACTTCGTGTTTTGTTTAGGCATGAGTATTCTTTGTTTTATTATAGACATTATAGTTAATTTAAAACAATATTAAAAAAAACTATTTTTAATTAAATAATTTGTATAAATCCTTTTTAATTACCTATAATTTGTTTCAGATTAGTGCATTTAAAGGAATTGGTGGAAATGAAGCAATTTGCCAGCTTTGGGGCTGTGCCAGTAAAAGTAACATCCAAGTTATTCAACGTTTCCAGAATAAAGTATTAAGGAACATCCTCGATGCATCTTGGTACTGTCGCAATACTGATCTTCATAGGGACCTTAAAGTGGAAACTTGAAAATACAATACAAAAATGTGCCAGTAATCACCAATGACTGCTCCAACATGAAAACCTTGATATTATCCAGCACCTCAACAATGCCAATCTAATAAAAAGACTCAAGAGAACAAGCCCTTTGAGTTAGTTTAGTGATAGATTAAAGCAGAGTATAGTGAGGTTAAGTGTTATACGTTAAAGCTAGTGTAACTAAATAATTAGACTTTAAGGTAGAATCTTTTTCATCCCTAGATAAGTTAGGTAAAAATAAAATTGCTAATTGATCTTAATGATCACATTGTAGTAATCGTAAATGTTCTTTTACTTGGGGCACTTAATAAAAAAAACCTATTTGTTTCAGATTAGTGCCTTTAAAAGAATTGGTGGAAATGAAGCGATTCGCTTTTATATTTTGAGATACTGTTTAAAATTTTTTATTTATGAATCAATGTTTGAGTTTTGAGTATTTTAAATAAACACGTATATTGTTAAATGTCTTTTTTTCTAATATTTAAAAAAAATGACTACATTTCTGAAACATTACTATTTAATATTTCTAAAAGATTTAAAATTTTCATTTCAGAAATATTACTGTGAAATATATTTACAGGACATTTTTACGTTTCAGGCACATTTCAGAAATGTTTCGTAATATTTATACATTACGAATGTTTCAATGTAACATTTTTGAAATATTTCCGAATGTGTTTGTGCTGTATGGGTTAGCATACCTCGAATTTGATGCTGGATTATAGATGTCCTTTTTAATAAAAATATTTTTCTTTACAGACTAAGATAAACTTTTTCCCAATCGAATAAAAATTTAGCATATAAGTACTGTAGACATTTTAAGATTTTTAACACATAATACTTAGCTACATAAAACTGTTTTTTAATTGACCAATCTGTTGCCTCTGTCAATACCGTTAAATTACAAAAAAAAATGTATTTTGTAGATCGGTGGTAAGGTGTTAGTGGTTGAAGACCACTACCCTGAAGGTGGAATGGGAGAAGCTGTATTGGCAGCTTTAGCAGATCAGAAAAACATAGTTGTTAAAATTATTGGTGTAATAGGAGTACCAAAATCAGGCGAAACTGCAGCTGTGTTGAAACACTATGGTATAGATGCTAAAAGCATTGTTACTTACATTGAGGAACTAGTAAAGTCTTGTTAATGATTTTCAAATAAACGTATTTTCATAATAAAATATTTAAAACTTATTAAAATTTTAGCTTTATTTTCGAATCCAATCAGCAAAAAAACTCGACACTCAAGGACGGCAAATATATCTTAGAGAAAAAACCTAATGTCAACGCGAGATAAGTTAGAAGAGAAGAGGCTTTCAATTGACTGTGTCTAAAATAATCAAAAACTGGAATATCTTAGAAAATATTTTGTATCCCTTTCGAATATAAAAGTACCATTTGGGAAGGAGAGACTACGACAGGAAACAGCAGCAAGCGACCGAAAACGATATCTTTGCGTCTGAACACATGTAATTAAATGAAACACATTTGGGAGAGGGTGACCCATGAAAGAGACGCGACGCCACTTTTAACACGGCAATATTTGCTGCCTTGCTGCTGTCGTCTGCCTCGGTCTCGCGTTCCCAAATGGTATCTTAAGGAGGAAACCTATACCAACTCAAGTTTTGTCCCTTTTCAAAAATATTAAAAATCGATAATGTCAGTTATTTAATTTTGACGACTATTACGAATTAGGTTATAAAATAAGAGTTTTGAAATAGATGTAACAATAAAATTAACCGTTACAACATTGCACTTGTTAAATATCTATATATCTGACTGGGTATCAGAAGCTTTGGCCAAAGGGTGTGCTCTTACCAGTATCATAAGAAATATGCTAGCGTTTAATTAGGAATAAAAAATTAAAATAAAAAAATATTTATTTTCTTACAATAAACCCTACAATTATAAAAATATATATAAAAAATACTAGATAACTAAAAATGGCATAAGGAATAATTTAACCGTATCATTACGCATTACTTTCATAATAAAATTACTAGAGTTGATCTGAAAAAGAAAGTAAAAAATATACTTCAGAAACCACCAAAATACTTTCCATAACTAAACAAAACATATTATTTAAATACCATTGTAACCAATGAACGATATCTTAATAAAAAGGTAATATTAAACATAACATGCTCCTTGACATTTTTTGGAATCCTCTGGAATTCTAACTTTAACAGATCCATCATTCATTCCAAAATATGCCATAACAGCCATATTTACAAATAATCCAGTCTCTATCAGGCCAGGTATTTGTAAAAGTTGATTATTTACTTTCTCCCAGTTACATTCTGGATCAAAATCTTTCCAGTCTAAAATAAAATTCCCATCGTCAGTAACTATGGGTCCAGCTTTCATTTTAGCTAGTCTCAGTTCAGCTGTTCCTCCTAATGTCTTTTCAATTTTATTTTTTATAGCAACGTATGCCATTGGAACAACTTCTATTGGAACACCTATTAAAAAAAAAGAATATAATTAATTAAAAATATAAAGATTCAATCAAAATGTTAGTAAGAATTCCTTTTTTCTGTTGTTTCGCTGTGCTAGAACAATACTAGGACAACTTTAAAAATGTCGATTTTGAGATATCCTGATCATTATGATGTAAAAAAGTGCTTTCTGGTGCTATAGTCAAGTGTACAAAATGCATTTATTTGAGCAGTGTCACTGATATTTTACTGTTGAAATATATATAATTTTAATTAGTGTTTAAGGTAACAGATATTAAAATGTCTCTTTCGTCTGAGGTGGGATTTGTTATTTTACATTTTTATTGGTGAAATATTAATATATTTTAAGATGTCCCACTCTTTTCTATAGTATAAAGATATATATATTTTAAGATATCTCAGTTTTATAAGTTGTCCTAGTATTAAATAGCATATTAAATAACGAATCAAAAAATTTGGGTCTACTTGTTGATCAGTCTCTTAGATTTAAGTCATATTAAGACCTTGATCAAGAGATGCTACTCAAGATTGCGGTTGCTTTACATTAATAGGTATATATTGAACTTTAAAATAAAAAAACTGAATATTTAATTTTATAAGTTATTGCAATATTGTTTACTATCCTTGTCTGGACAAATTGTCACAGCCAATTACAGCTTATACAAAATGTTTGTTGCAGATACATTTTTGGTTTGAGGAAATATGATCATATCTCAATTTATTTCACTCAGCTGAAATGGCTCAACTAAATCTTTTAATATTTTTGTATAGACTATTAAAGACAAGGAACCCTGCCTATTTGTTTGAGAAATTAATTTTCAGAACGTTCATAATGTTAATAGACAAAATATGCTTACAATGCCTCATCTGAATGTTCATTCTATTTTAAAAAATGATCTACATGTGAACCTACAAAATCCTACAGAATCAAAATGATTATTTTACTAGCATTTTTAAAAAATCTGACAAGATTCATTTTTATGCTCATAATAAATACCTGAACAATATGTATGTTCAGCGATAATTATTTAACACAGTGTCCGATTTCAATGATTCTTTTTTTGTTAGAAAGGGGGCACGGTGGTCCCTTATCAATTTGGTCAAAATCTATTAATTGGGTCCATTAGAAAATCCTCAAACTCTTCATTTTTTATATTTATTTAGCGGTAATTCTTTATCACCTTGTCCGATTTCTATGTTTCTTTGCAAAGTTTAAAAAAGGTTTCACTTATAAAGCTGTTACAAGTTATAAAAGTAATTTTAAAAAACCGACTTCAAAATCTTGCAGATGCCATCACCACATCTTGACCAAATTTATATGGGACCACCCCTGAGGCACCCCTTTACTAACCAAAAAAAGAATCATAGAAATCGGACAAGGTGGTAAAGATTTATTACTGCTAAATATACATAAAAAAAATGAAGTTTGAGGATTTTCTAATGGACCAAATTATTAGATTTTGACCAAATGGATATGGGACCACCCCTGAAGTACTCCTTTACTAACAAAAAAAGAAACAGAAATCGGACAAGGTGATAAAGAATTACCGCTAAATAAACATAAAAAATGAAGAGTTTGAGGATTTTCTAATGGACCCAATTAATAGATTTTGACCAGATCGATATGGGACCCCCTTTCTAACAAAAAAAGAATCATTGAAATCGGAGACTGTGTTAAATAATTATCGCTGAACATACATATTGTTCAGGTATTTATTATGAGCATAAAAATGAATCTTGTCAGATTTTTTAAAAATGCTAGTAAAATAATCATTTATTTCTGTAGGATTTTGTAGGTTCACAGGTAGATCATTTTTTAAAATAGAATGAACATTCAGATTGTAGGCAGAAGGACTTCTGTCGATAGCCATTGGACTGAATTTTCAGTTCAATAAATGATAATTGAAGACACAAGTGGATGAAGGGCCTATGTAACATTTTTTTTAAATGTTTTTCTGTGAATGAAGGGCTTATGTACCTAAAATTCGTTTAAATTGTCTTCCGTGACAATATATCATCAAATATAGAAGTTGCCAGGGGATAAAGGACCAATGTACTAGGAAATAACTGCCAAACAATAAACTTTAACATGAAATATCTCGAAAAAATTATTTTGTTACATAGGCCCTTCATCCACTTGTGTCTTCAATTATTAATTAATTCAGATTGTGTAGGCCTTTCCATAAACGTTTCTACTTTTTTCATTCTGCACACTGGATAAAAATGCTGCTTTTTTTCTCCTAATTGAGGCCAGAGCATAATTTCGATATTCCTTATAATGCCTCCAGTTTTCAGGAGTTCTGTTACATTTAAATTTAAATAATGCCTTATCCCATTCCTTGAGAATTAACTTTAAATTATCAGTAAGCCAAGGAGCTGGTGGTTTACTGACTCTGATTTTTACAAAGGATACATGTTCATTGAAAAGCATAGTTATATTGTCAGTTATGAAGCTGACCTTGTCATTAATATTATCAATAAAGAATATCAGTAAACATTTTTAAATTTTTCAATATTTAGGTTCTTATATTTACTTTTAGTAATGAATTTCTGTCTGGATTTATTAATAGATAGGTATATTTAGTGTGTAATGAGGCATCATATTATGATCACTCAAGTAAAAAAGGATGGTGGTGCTGTCTTGACAAATGTCTTTGCAATTAATAAAGATGGGATCTATTAGTAATGTGGCACAACTTTCAGAAAAACGAGTTGGCTCAGTAATAACATTAGCATAGCCATAAGCGTCAAGTAGATTTAGGGTAGATTTACTTATCTATGTTCAAATCACCAGTGATAATAGAGTAATCTGATTCCGAAATCAAAAAAGGAATTGACATTAAAAAGATTAGATAGTTTAGTGAGGCCAGAGTCGGACGGACGATATATGACTGCCAGAAAAATTTTATGCATATTAGTTTACAGTTTCAGAAATGATGGTGAAATATAATTATAATTGATATTATTTAGGTCAAGATCAATAACCTCGCAATTGATATATGATTTTACATAGCACCCTACAAACCTACCCTTTTTCCATTTTTCTCCCAGCTTTTCAGAATCTTTTGTGTGATCAGCAATTATAACAAGCTTTTTAGAATTACTCGCTACAATTTTTTCTTGTAATAAACAAGCTCCACCTCCTTTAATACAGGTTAAATTAGCATCAACTTCATCAGCTCCATCAATGGTTATATCAACAATCGGATCAATTTCTAAATCTGTTAAAGGTAATTTGTGGTGTATAATCAATTGTCTAGCTTGAAATGAAGTTGGTACACATCTAATATTGAGTTTTTCTTGTTTAAAACGTTCTGCTAATCTTTGAGCTAAAATAAAATAATTTTTTAAATCCTGAAATTAATAGATTTAAGTAGTTTCAAAGAGGCAAGTTTATATATAAACTGCACAATTCATATTGGCTCTGAAGAAAAATATAGGCATTTGTCATTTTAGAGTAGTATTTTATAAATGCATCTGATGTTTATTTTACCAGCCAATACAGCTGTTGAACCACTTCCAACCCCTATTACTTGACCGCTTTTTACGTGATCATCCACTGCTTTATAGGCAGCAATTTGTTTAGCCTCGTTTATACTAGCCATTGTAGTCTTAAATCTCAAACTTAGATTTTTTGTTAGTTTAAAAAATTTCACAGTCATCAACAAAGGATATTAAATATTAACGTTTCACACTATTTTAGCCGGGTCATAAGTTGATAAGGTTATCTATTATAATCAAAATCAAAATAAATGTTCATCAGGGCTGGTATGTTCATATCTTTTTTCTATAAAATAAAAAGCACTAAGTTGTCAGTTGTCAGCACTGTCAGCAGGAGTGCGTTTAGAAACCTCGCACTTCTGACCCACTGAACTGTAACACATATTAGAATAGGGTCCACAGTCCAGACGCGTCGTGAGAGGTTTCTAAACGCACTCCTGTTTTAAAAATTTGACAATCAAAAATCAGATGTACCAAACGCGAAAAAAGAAATACAATACTTTTCTGAGGACAACAATTGCCGCGTTTGAGAATCCACCACAGAACAATTACTTTGAATCCACATCCGATGCATCCGAGATGTAAAAAATCTTTGATCACGTGATTCAGTATACGTAAATGTAATGGGATAAATGTGTCCGATGTGGATAAAAAAACGCTCGAGATGTAAAAAATGCATCCGATGTGGATTCTCAAACGCAGCAAATAAGATTGCACGATTGCACAAACTAGTAATAGATATTTTAACAGAAAGTCACAATGTCAGGCAACTATTATTACTTCTTTACTGAATGTATATGCAACCATATATACCTTATATCGTGATACACAGTGGTGAGTTCGAATTAGTCAGGGGCTGGAACAGGACAGGAACGGTGCTTTTAAATGACATTTAAGCTTGTTGAACTATCACTAGTTCAGGGGCGGATGGGCCCACCGGGACACCGGGAGATTTCCAGGTGCGCCGGTCCTACAAGCGCCGATAGGCCTTGGAGCATATATATTTTATAGAGTCCGCATTCAATAGGGTTTGTTTCGTTATGAGGGGAAATGCCTGGACACTATTACCAGTGTCGCATCATTTTTACGGGGTTTGCAATTAATATAAATAATAAATTTAATGCATACCTTCAAAATTCTATAAATTATGCACATGTTTTATAAACTTGCATTATTTATGTCGGTACCTATCTAGTAATAGTAAATAATTATTATTAATATTATTATTTGTGCTAGAAACATCAGATTTTTTTTTTTTAATGCAAACATCAGAAAGTGTATAACGGAAAAATGAAGGTTGACATAATAGGCAATAAAAAATATAAGAAGCTTATATTTAAAAATCAAACATATGAATAAATAGTAGGTATATTATACAAATATTTATGACATCTCTTAATACACGTATACGAGAATTACAATACAAGAACTTTTTCCAATAATTTATTAAATATAAAAATAATATTCGTAACCAATGTTCAATAGATTACTAAACGATATACTACAAATAGAAATCAAGCTAATACTTAGGTACAGTTGCACTGCTAGTCGTTAACAGATAAGTGAAGCTTTATTTTTATTAGAAAACTGTCTTAAGCTTCGATTATTTCTTAATGACTAGGAGTGCAAATAAAAGAAGCCTAAAGTGACTTTTTTATTGAAAAACTCACATTAGGTTTTGCTTATTTCTTAACGACTAATAGTCTACTTTATTAAAGAACATAGGTACATTTAATACAAAATAATTATTGTTAATGTTTGTAGTTTATAAAAAATATAGGTAGTAATTATTTTAAAATAAAATTTATGTTGTATTGAAAAGTACTTAGTTACTTACATGTTTTCTAATTCTGCATTTTCTTTTTCTTCATGGTCGGAGTGGGGGGTGTTAGGTTTATTTTCGTTACGGAATTTTTTTTTCGATTTTTCGCTTTTTCGATTTTTCGATTTTCTTTTATTGAATAAATGAGAAGTTAATATTGTTTAATATTAATATTGTTAATTGTTTAACGGTCGGAGTGGGGGGTGTTAGGTTTTTTTCGTTACTTTTTCGTTACGGAATTTCTTGATTCGGTCGCCGCGCTCAAAGCCCGCAATAAAAGCTATGCAATAGCTTAAAACCTTTCAATGTTACATTTACCTGACAAATTGTGATTGGAAAAGAGCTTTCAAAAATTGGAGGTTTTATAATGGATTTCAAAATACCAGTGTTAGTTAATAATTTTATTGGAGGGTTTTTAATTTTCTATATGGGTAATATAGGTAAATAACATAACTTTAAACTAAATTTGCTGTCTTTGACATAATTCTCAAAAAATCTTCCAGGCTCACTTCTCCATCGCGATCTTTATCAGCTTCATCAATCATTTCTTGTAGTTGTTCATCTGTTTTGTCCTCGTCTAGTTCCTTTGCAATTTTTTTCAAGTTCCAAAACGTTATTTTACCTTCACCTTCATCAGCAAATAACCGAAAAGTCTTTATAATATCTTCTTTTGAGTCTCGTTCAGACATTTTTACAGACAGCAGGTGTAAAAAATCGTCAAAAGAAATTTTTTCAGAGCTACAATTATTAATTTGTTTTAGAAATGGTTTAAGGATGGTAAAGAAATTACATTTTTATTTCTCTTACCCGGTTCTATCGATTTCAGACACCATTTTTCGTATTTCTTCCTTGCCTGGTTCAAATCCTAAGGCCCTGATAGCTACTTTAAGATCTTTTCCATTTATTTTGCCAACTCCTTCTACGTCAAAAAGGTCGAAAGCTTCTTTTATATCCTTTTTTTGGCGGGGAGTCAGTAAAAATCTTGGACCTGTTTTTTTTCGTGGTCCTTGTCCACCAATTTTTGTGCCTCCAAATTTCGACTAAAATTTATGAAGTACCTTGATTCTTAAAATTCTAATAATTTTTTAACTTAAAAAATGTGCAAATCTTACCATTTTTAATTCACTTATAAACGTATTTTCTTTCTGTGAATATTTGTTATATTTAACTGGTTTGACAATTTATTTAGGGATTGACAGATTTTTGACTAAAGTATTTTTACGATAAGAAGGCGGTGACACAGAATAAAGAACGATACAGAAAAGAAACATAGGGCTAAAACAGGAACCTAGCAACCGAAGCCACACCTTCTTTATGGTGGAGCATTGTCAAAAGTGAATCGTAGATTTGTTACTTGTTCAACAGTGCAACAGTGCACACTTTTGTAGCAGATGAACGAAGCTGTCGCTGTCAATATTTTTTGCCTGTCGTCTTTATTAGTCGTTTTTCATTTTTGGTTGGTTTTAGCAAATATTCTATTAACTTTTACGTTTTGTTAGTGGTTTATTTTTAGTTTTTGTTGCTGTTTTTAATTGTGGAGTGTTCATTTAAGACTTTATTGTACGTATTAAGATTAGGTTTATAAATAATGCCGCATCAAAGAGAAGGAGGGTCACATACTTTGATTACTATAAGGGGCAAGAGAGAGGTCCGACACGCCCAACATAGGGCGCGGCCATTTTGAACCCTATAACACAGTTTATAGCTAAAGAATCAGATCGCTCACTCTGCGTCGGCACTTTTTATCTCAATGTTCCAGTTTATACACTGCGCAACTCAGATAATACAATATATGACAACCGCCTATAATAAAACAGCAGTCTTCTGCGTATCCTGAATTTGTATTCCTGGTGTGGATGTTATTTTGGAACTTTCAACTGGTCCGAGTGAGCTAACTGACCACATACTTTGATTTTCTTTTACTATACGGAGAATAGTCGCACTGCGCAGCTTTCTGAGTGCCTTTTAAAAGGAGATAGAAAACTCCGCCATTTTGAACCTTTATTACGTGTTGCCTACATCTTGGCGCAATATTTTTAATAGGTGCGTTTTAATCATCCGCTTCTGCTTTGGAATTGTCGGTTTTCTTGTTTTAATCTGACAGGTTAGAACGACTGAACCGACAATTCCGGAAGCAGAAGCGGATGATTAAAACGCACCTGATATTTTGCTTGCTGCTGTCAGTGTCAGTGAATATTATTTTTGGAGTCACAGATTATTGCTAAAGAATCAGTTAGCTCACTCGGACCAGTTGAAAGTTCCAAAATAACATCCACTCCAGGGATGCAAATTCAGGATACGCAGAAGACTGCTATTTTATTATAGGCGGTTGTTATATATTGTATTATCTGAGTTGCGCAGTGTATAAACTGAAACATTGAGATAAAAAGTGCCGACGCAGAGTGAGCGATCTGATTCTTTAGTTATATACTGTGTCATAGGGTTCAAAATGGCCGCGCTCTATATTGGGCGTGTCGGACCTCTCTCTTGCCCCGTATAGTAATCAAAGTATGTGTAACTGACTGACACTGACAGCAGCAAGCAAAATATCAGGTGCGTTTTAATTATCCGCTTCTGCTTCCGGAATTGTCGGTTCAGTCGTTCTAACCTGTCAGATTAAAACAAGAAAACCGACAATTCCGAAGCAGAATCGGATGATTAAAACGCACCTATTAAAAATATTGCGCCAAGATGTAGGCAACACGTAATAAGGGTTCAAAATGGCGGAGTTTTCTATCTCCTTTTAAAAGGCACTCAGTAAGCTGCGCAGTGCAACCATTCTCCGTATAGTAAAAGACAAATCAAAGTATGTGAGGAGGGTATACTTGTATTTATCGTGGATGTACCTCAAGAACAGGTGACAAAGAAGGATTGTTCACTCTTGTGAAAGATCCAGTGAGGTATGTATTAAACATTGAGTGTGAAATAGGAATTGACCTTGCCATAACATTGTAGTACAATGATTGTATGTATTTTTCAGACTTTAATTGTGGCTTAAGGCAGCAAATAGAGAGGACTTATTGGGAAAGAGTGTTGAATACTTAAGTAAACATTACAAAAGTGAACTGCACTTCCAGGATAAATTATTTTATCAGTCAGAAGCAAGAAAAAGATTATTTGAAAATGCATTCCCATCAGTATTTCCTCACTAAGAACCTATGAAAAGAGTCACAGTTTTGCAAGGTAAATAAATAAAATTTATACTTAAATGTTACAAAAAGTTTGCTACTCGTCTCGCTTGTTATTTTTTTACATTATATTTAGTAGTTTAAAAAATAAAATGATAAGTACTAATAATCTTAGAATATCAACCCATACATTCCATTTTGTAGAACTGCCTCGAAGGTAAACTGCACTATGTCGACATACAACAACTTATGCAAATTAAAATAAAGTAGTTTTATCAGTTAGGTTAGTAAAAAATACAAATATTGTGACAATAAATGGGGTGTCT